AAGGGATGAAAAAGAGTGTGCTTGCTAAATGTCTTTGCATTTTGACTCTTTTAAGCATTTTAAACTATCATACATGTTATTCAAAACCATAGCGTACAATCCCTAATCGAACACACAATTTTGAAATGCAATATAATTAGTGACCTTTTTTTTATCTATAATATAAGCTGTTAGTCCCCGAGGGTGTCACCAGCCCAGTAGCCAGTACTTTGGTTACATTTCGGATATTGTTTGATTAACATTTGCTGTTTTAAAATTTTAGAAATTATTTTAAATTAAGGAATAGTTCTCCCTCATGCAAAGCTTTGTTTCCTTGTCCTTCTTTAGGTCTTTTTTGATTTGATCAGCCCTTCAAGTTTGTATTAGATTTTGGATTTTCGGATATTTTGGCCTCGAGCATCACCTAAGAGACATTTATTGTCGAAATGCGCATATGGTGCAGTTAGATTTGTACCGTTTATGTTATTGTATAAGAAATGCGAATCTATTTTTTTTGCTAACAGTTTAAAGAAAGGTGTATTCGTGTTTGCGTTAACGTTATCTTGTTGTGTACTTACATAGTAATTTAGCTCTGATGGGATTAATATGTAAGGGGTTCTTAAGGTTCGATTCTCGTCATTGATTTCTGCCTCATCGTGATTGTTTATGTTAATTAAGAATTTGGTGACATAGTTATATGTTTGATGATTTTATAAATGATTTGTCGTTATAGCCAGGTTACCAGAGTCAGGATTTTCTATTAATCGTCATAACTATTACACCGCTATATAATATTATAATTAGTTGGTCAATATTAATGTACTTTAAGATTAATGCGGCCGTTTAAAGAAAATATGTTGCAGCTTTTCATAATCAAGATCAAATGCCATATTAAATTTTTCATCGAAAATATTGGAACCATGAACCATCATAATTTATTTTTGCACTGTAAAAGAGAGGGGAAAGACATTCAAACTCATAAGTTGAAAACAAACTGACAATGCCATGGAAAAAAGTGAAAAACATCAAAAGACAATTCGTATATAAAACACAACATAGAAAACTTAAGACTGAGCAACCAGAACCCCATCAAAAACCGGGGATGATATCAGGTGCTCCGGAATGGTAAGCATATCCTGCTCCACATGTGGCACCCGTCGTGTTGCTTATGTAAGTGATAAGTCTAATTCTGTAGGTCACATTTGAAGAAAAGAAGACGGGATTATGGTTAAGATAATTGGAAGATATCCGTCGTCATCTGTGAAACAGATATTTCATAACGGTCAACCAACTCGTGATGGCGTCCGTAAAATTTTCGAACGGATGATTTTGACTTCACCATTTGGAACTCTTGGTTTAATAGCTTCATTTTTTTAAGCAGCAACCATTTATTAAGGAAATCATGATAGGAAATGCAAGCTCTGGAATATCGTTTTAACTGGGAGATAAATACTCAATATGCAGGCGCTGCTGGCATGTTGATACATAGAAATGGAAAGTTGACAATTGGGAAGCTGAAATCATCTAATTGTCGTAAAGTTTTGTTTTCAACCGACCCTCATTGTCAATTTCTAGATGTAAGTCATGATATGAGGTAGAACTGTATTTGTCGTATCCTTTATTTCAAGTTCGATGGGATAGATGCTTTCAACATAGTCACCAAACTTTGAATTGTTTAGTTAGAGGACATCATCTATTAAGCGGAACGTTATGTTAAAGGAAAATACTACCTTCTCATTCTTCCTAAGAAGCTCCTGTATGAAGTCAGCCTCATGTGAATAACGGAACAAATCGGCAAGAAGAGGAGCACAGTTGGTTCCCATGGGAATGCGATTGTTTGTTGAAAAAAATACGTCCTCTAAATGTAAAAAGATATGTTGTCAATCATGAATCAAGAAATCAAGCATGTTGATATTGTCAGTTTCAGAGAATGTTTTGTTTGCATGAATCTGCGTGCTTTTTAAAAAGTACGATTTATCCCTTATGCGATTTTACAAAAGGGTGGTGGTTTTCAATTTGAAAAAAATGTAATGTCTTCAAATTAGTAGTCAACAGTCGTCAAAACTATACAAAATGTACTTACACACATGTAAAATATATGTTTGTTAAGATTGATGTATATCATAACTCAAAACAAGTGGAATATTTGAATAAATGTTTTGAATTTAGGATTAATTTGGTACATGTATGTAACAAAATGAATGAATAGGAACATAATTCAGGATAAAGTAGACCAACAACTTTTTAAAGGCTTGAATAAAACTTCTCCTGTTGTAAAATTGTTAAAGTTTCGGTTGTTTAATCCAAAACAAAGCGACACAAGATAAAAAAAATTCTCATCTTAGAAGGATTAGTAAACATCGCACCAAAAACTTTACTCTAAAGTGTAATTAAGACCTCAAATGACATCTCTCAGAGTATGTATGGGAACGTATATTACAAGATTCCGAATTCTCACTGGAATGCAAATTTCTGCTTAACAAATCACAAAGATCTCCAATACTCCAACGTTTCCAGTAGATAAGAAACACGACAAATGGTTAAACCACAAACCTAACTTTAAAATATTTCGATAATGAAAGTAAAATTACGGGCATTTGACCCCTTGTACAATGGCATAGAGTGCTGATCGAATGTTTTTGTAAACGCTAACACTTGAAAAAAACCATGCGATTTTTTGGGAACCAATCGAAAACTCAACTAAAATCATTTTTTAGGAGTGTGCATATTTTTAACCATGTAATATGCAGAGAAATTGAACCGTGTTAATAATAAACTTTGTCCTAATGCGTCACCGAACTATTTTATTTACAGCTTACCACACAACAATTTTATTTTAATTCTTTTTTCAAAAATCAATTATTTTAATTTTATTAAGAAATACTTTTAAAATTACATTACCATTTCCTTATTTACACTGTGATGGTTCCCATTACTTTTCTCTAGTTTATCATTACAAAAAAAATATAGACTTTACGTCCATAAAGCAGCAACCAAACGAGAAAAATTAGTTTTTGTCATAACCATACTGTATCGCCATCATAACAATGTTTACAAATGCTGCGAAAGGTATTTAGCCTTGAAATATTTTTGCATATGGAAGCATAAAACACATTGACATTGACATTTCTTTGACACCAGTTGCCTAAAAGATTTCATGTTGACACGAATAGTTTGTCATAACATGTACGTAGATAACCCACCAACATTATGATTTAACTTGTTGTGAAAGAATTTTGCCGTGTGACATCATGTGAACGCTACTCTTTTGAAAGGAATGTGCGGATCTATAATAATAAGTTGGTTTTTTTTGTCATTTTATGTAATTGATATGACTATGCAAACAAAACGCTTCGGTGATTATTTTGGGAAACAGGGTGACATTTGCATATTCGACCCGCTGTTGCATTATGACAACTGGACACCTTTTGTAAATGTAACATTTCTCTAAACCACTGACAGCAATTGACTGTTTGAAGCTGCCCACATAATTTCAGTATTATGACAAAACCGTATCAAAAGTTCCTACATTTTCATGTGGACCATATTCATGGAAATGTCAAAAATATAAAAAAAAAAGAATATGGGGGTTAATTAAAAGGCAACAAACTGGGTTGTAATGTTAGGTGTGGAGCTGGTAGTCTGCAACGTACCCTTATTTAAATTTATTCAGGTGTAGATATATCTTGTTAAGTTTTTATCCTTCAGCAATAACAAATACCATTTGTTTTTATACAGAGCTTTCAACATGCTTTGTTTAATTCATACGTGATGCAAATGATGCACAATGAAATCGGCTCCAACATTTGATATTCTTTTTTTTTTCAGAAACACATTCAGAATTGCTAAAAATGTGGAAAAAAGATGATGATTTATATTGTGGTGAAACGAATGTTTACCAGAATACAAAATGCATGGTACAGTCCCATTCTGTTGTTGTTCTGGTTGGTGGACCCGGGTGTGGGAAAACAGCTACAGCAAGACATGTACCAATTGATTACGAAAGAAATGGATGGGAGGTAGTTCCCGTCTTCAGAATTGAAGAAATTGTACAATATGCAGATTTAAAATTTAAACAAATATTTTTATTGTACGACATCTTCGGTATATTTGCTGTGGACATGTCATTATATCATAACGTAAACAATCACAAAGACGGTATAATGAATGCAATAAGTAAAGGGTCAAAATTATTGTTCACTTGTAGAAAGACTGTCTATAATGAAGCAGTTAAGCTAAAATCTTTTGTATTACAGAATACTGTAGATTTCGAAAGTAAGGGAAATGCATTAAACAACGACGAAAAGACAAACATTCTTGCAAAACATTGTAAATACAGAGACGACTTAACCGAATATATCTACAGTGATATAGCTTTATCTTCTTCAAAGATAATGTTTCCCTTGCTTTGTAAGCTTTTTTCACCAAGCATAAAATTAGTGGCACTTTGGAACAGTTTTTCGCAAACCCCTTTGAGTGCCTTATTCACGAATTAAATCAGTTGGAACATATTTCTCCTCTTCAATATGCAGCCTTGGTACTATGCGTACTGAGTAACCATAAATTGCACGTGCTCAGTAACAATAAAATATCAATAAGTAATATTTCAGTCGATGAAATGAAAGAAGATGCATACAACACGTGTGGAATTAATCTAAGTACTTCGGATAAACAGATAAAAAACGCTTTATCAAATTTTGTAGGTACCTATCTTATAAGATATGATAATAACTTTATTTTCATACACGATTCAATATTTGAGATTGTTGCATATCACTATGGTAAAAGCTACCCACTTATGATAGTAAAATATATGGAAAGCAACTTTATAGCTACAAAAGTTGAAGTGCAGAGAGACCAGAATATTGATTCGTGTACTGAACTATTAATTGTAATAGATCGTGACCATTACGAAGATTTGGCTGAGAGACTTTACATTGATTTACAAGCTCTTGAATTATATAATGTTTTTATGAATACGTCGTTATATTATCCTCCTTTTCTGAACGTTTTTATAAAAACATTAAGAAAAAAGCCTTATGAAGAATTGAAAAAACTAATTCTTCATAGGAAAAAAGATGATTCCAAAGTGACCAATCGATATTATGATGAAGACGATACAAGAAAGGGCAAATACGAGGAACAAAACAGACTTGAATTACTCGAGGACCTAATTTGTCACGAAGGATTACACAATACATATTCTATAAGTGTCATAAGTTGGATTGTATATTATGGTCATACAAGTCTTTTACAAAGTATTGTTGAACTTCTTCTAGAACACAATGATTGTATTGACATGGTGTTTGGATCAGAAATTACCGAACAGTCAAGTTTGCTTATTTTAGGGGCATACTGTGGTAATGATGAAATGATGAAATTAATACTGAAATATGTTAATGGTGACTGTATCAACAAAACTCCTTTGACTACAAATATTAATTGTCTTTACAATGAACATAGAACACACACGCCACTTACCGCAGCTTGTTATTCTAGTCATTTATCAGTTGTACATCTTCTTCACAAAAACAATGCACAGATAAATCTATGTGATGATTATCCACATTTCCCATTGGAATTAGCATCATCAAAAGGACATGATGACATTGTTCAGTATCTGGTACAGAACGGAGCAAATGTTAACCAGTGTGATGAGTTTAGCAGGTCTTCATTGCATAGAGCATCAGCAAATGGACATTATGGCGTTGTGAAATATCTAGTAGAGAACGGAGCCATCGTTAACCACTGTGATAAATATAACAGGTCTACATTACATAGGGCATTAGAAGTAGGACACAATGATATAATAGAATATCTTATACGAAATGGAGCCGATGTTAACTTGTGTGATCGTGTGAAGAAAACCCCACTGTTTGAGGCAGCGGAAATCGGTAATATTGATATCGTGAAATATCTTATTAAAAATAATGCAGATTTTACAATTGGAACTGATAATAATATTTCCCCATTACATATAGCAGTATGGTTAAACAATTCTGAAATAGTCAAAGAATTAATAAAAGCAGAAAATGATAAAATACCGCTGTCAGGTAATTATCATTTATTACATATACTATTTGATATAATAAAGTCAAATAACTGTTTTGATGATAGACCATGGAATGACAGAAGCGTTACCAAGAAGAAACACAATTTATCGAAAGGACTGTTAAATTTTATCAGATGGGAAAGATCGTTTTTGTTAATAAAGCTTTTGAAGTTAGGGCATAATGTTAATTATTGTGATTGCAAGGGACAGTTACTGTTTAAAATGATCGAAGACCAAAGTGTAATGGAAAGGGTCCAGAAGGTTGATTTATTGATACTTAATGGAGCTGATATCACAGCCAGAGATGATAAATGTATGTCCTTATTAGAACAAACAAGACGGATGATAAATAATAGGAAAAGGAAAGGACGTGGCTGTGACTCCTACCAAAACATAATGTTGATATTAAAACAACGTGTTAGAAGATTTTCAGTGTAAAACATGTAGTGTTATTGCCGTCAAAAGAATTAATATTCTTTTTCTCCGCCACGAATAAAGGATACATTTTATTTCCTATTCCTTATCAAAATATGATCAGGTTTCCGCCTGTCAATGTATATCAAATACTTTTTATTGCATGTATTGTTGTATTGTTTTAGTTATTTTGCATCTTTCAATTGTGTTCTTGCAATGGCATTATTAATGAAAGACTTTCTGTTTCAATAAGCAGACCACTTCATTTGAACTTTGGTGGATAGTTGTCTCATTGGCAATCATACCACATCTCCTTATTTTTATATAGAAGTGAATTTGCTGTAAAATAAAAATTTCAAATATAACGCACTGATATACTTAATGAAACCATGCAAAAATAATATTGATACATCTTTATACTAACAAGCACATTTTGCCTTAACTGGGAAAACAAACTCTGTCGAAGAACGACAGGCGACACATTGAGAGTACAAAGACAAAAAATCCAAAAAGATTCAACATATATGTCGCAACTGAAACTCTTATACAAAATCCGGAAAACTACAAAATATGCCCGTGATGGGTCATCATTTCTTGTTCCAAACTTGACAACCATCGTGTTACATCAACTGTTGAAATGTATCCAGTTATTAAAAAACATACCTTACTAAAAAACACACACTAGCTTAATGGTAAATGAGCTATAGTAAAAACCATAAAAACTATAAACCATTGTTACACGTTAACAGTAGTTAGTATTTGACCAAACATGAAAACAGTTTTCATTGACTAGTCTTTACAAGACTGCTGCACGTATAACTAACAAAAATTGACCATTAACTAGAAAACACCACACAATAGAAGACAAGAGTAAATGTAATACGCACCCTTTTAAAACACCACGATAAGACCAAAGGATGAACACGTCAACTACTGGCTCTCGTCGTGTTGATTATTTCAGGAACAAAATCCGGCGATAAGTCACAATCTGTGATGTCATGAATGAAAACAGGACGCAATAAGTATAAGTAGCGTTTATCTTTTGTCATCTACGATACAGTTGATCTTTAACGGTCAACCAAATGAAAATGCATTGGACACTTATAAAGAAGATAACTTCAAATTTACTATTTAGAACCTTTGGTGTAAATGCTTCCAGAAACTTGAAAGCAGCAATCCATTATCGATATGAAAAATCATAATAAATAATGCACAGGTATTACAGTATTTTATCAACAAAATGACCACTTGCCCAATTGCAGGTGATGCTGGAATTTTGTTTCGAGTTTACAATGGATATTTGTCGGAAAGCAGCTTAATTCACAATCGAATTGAATTTATACGTCCTAAATACTGCAGTATATTTAACTCAATGTTGGTAATCATTTCGATTTCGTTTTGTTATCAGTGTCTGTCTATTTTTTTTAAATTTGTCTTTAAGCTAAGAAGATGAAATGATTGTTTCATTTAAAAGTCAAAGGTTTTTATACTTTTGGTTGAGGATAGGGACTTTCTTGTCTTAATTAACGGTGATAAGTCGGATAAAACAACTTCCGTTGCCAATATGGACACTTACTCAATTATGGTATGAAGTAGACCGAAAGATGACCGTGTTCTTTGGATAAGGGTTCAAATTTAAAAAAAGGGGAAATAACCTATAATGTGTTAAGATCCCTCTTTAGAATAAACCCATCATAGATACCAGACGCGCGTTTCGTCTATAAAAGACTCATCACTGACGTTCGAACCAAAGGAGTTAAAAAGGCAAAACAAAGTACGAAGTTGAAGAGCATTGAAGACCCGAAATTCCGAAAGGTTTTGTCAAAAACAGCTAAGGTAATCTGTTCCTGGGGTAGAAAATCCTTAGTATTTTGATAAGTTCAAAGTTTTATAATCAGTTAGTTTATAACCATTGCATCTCTGCAGTACTAAAATGTTGAAATTATAGATTAATTTCAATACACATTCCCTTATGAAACAGTAAGTTAATGTGATTTACACAGGAAAACGATAATATATGCGACCTTATTTGCAGGGATAACATTCTTGTTTCAGAAGAAAGACAGTGCTTGGGTCTAAACTAAAGATTTTGCATTGACCCGTGCAGACTGCTGTTCTGATTTCTATCCACAATCCCACAGCTTTCAACCATAATGGAAGAATAGTCTTTATGTCTTTTACACGTTTGATCACTGTCTTGCACAATCGTCGACTGCAAACGTAATACTTTTAGTTTTAATATCGAGTTAATTGATAAAGGCCTACGCTATTTTGGTGATTTGGATAGCACATTTTTTAAAGATTAATGTTAACTTTGTCTTTCATAGCGTGGCCATTCGACGATATAAACATGTATATGAAAAACAGACATACGCAGTACTATCATTAAACAAACCTATTTTAAAAGTAGTTCAAAACAAGTGAAGCTAGAAAACGACATGATTTAGTTTTTTTTTAATAATTTGAAATCTTAACATACGGAGGAATGGAATTTGGTTTCGACAAGTGAATGTATCTAAACTTCTTTATTCTAAAGAATTAATCATATCGGAATTCAAAAGTAACAGTTCTCGCAAACCATCACCTGTAAAACATATTGAATGACATAAGAAAGATAAAAATATGCATAAAAGTAGGTCAGTTAATAATGATGTCGGTAAAAACAGACTGAGGCAAAGTTGACCTTAGATGGATTTGGCTATTTGTTTTAGGTATTTTTGTCATATCGCTCTTCAACCGTTTCGGTACTTATACATCCCTCGGATTTCAAATGTTTGGCTTTGAGCGTTCCTGATGAAGGTAAATCCAGAAAAGCGCTTCGGACGCATGACATTATTAAACGTGTTGTTTTCAATTTTTTATGGAAGATTCTTTTTGGATTTTATAGTTTTGAAATTTGCATATTATCCAGAACAGTGATGACCACAACCAAGTATCATAAATAAAACAAGGTAACGAATAATAGGGCATGTATAACCAGTGATGACCACAACCAAGTATCAACAATAAAACAAGGTAACGAATAATAGGGCATGTATAACCAGTGATGACCACAACCAAGTATCATAAATAAAACAAGGTAACGAATAATAGGGCATGTATAACCAGTGATGACCACAACCAAGTATCATAAATAAAACAAGGTAACGAATAATAGGACATGTATAACCAGTGATGACCACAACCAAGTATCATAAATAAAACAAGGTAACGAATAATAGGGCATGTATAACCAGTGATGACCACAACCAAGTATCATAAATAAAACGAGGTAACGAATAATAGGGCATGTATAACCAGTGATGACCACAACCAAGTATCATAAATAAAACGAGGTAACGAATAATAGGGCATGTATAACCAGTGATGACCACAACCAAGTATCATAAATAAAACAAGGAAACGAATAATAGGGCATGTATAACCAGTGATGACCACAACCAAGTATCATAAATAAAACAAGATAACGAATAATAGGGCATGTATAACCAGTGATGACCACAACCAAGTATCATAAATAAAACAAGGTAACGAATAATAGGGCATGTATAACCAGTGATGACCACAACCAAGTATCATAAATAAAACAAGGAAACGAATAATAGGACATGTATAACCAGTGATGACCACAACCAAGTATCATAAATAAAACAAGATAACGAATAATAGGGCATGTATAACCAGTGATGACCACAACCAAGTATCATAAATAAAACAAGGTAACGAATAATAGGGCATGTATAACCAGTGATGACCACAACCAAGTATCATAAATAAAACAAGGTAACGAATAATAGGGCATGTATAACCAGTGATGACCACAACCAAGTATCATAAATAAAACAAGGTAACGAATAATAGGGCATGTATAACCAGTGATGACCACAACCAAGTATCATAAATAAAACAAGGTAACGAATAATAGGGCATGTATAACCAGTGATGACCACAACCAAGTATCAACAATAAAACAAGGTAACGAATAATAGGGCATGTATAACCAGTGATGACCACAACCATGTATAATAAATAAAACAAGGTAGCGAATAATAGGACATGTATAACCAGTGATGACCACAACCAAGTATCATAAATAAAACAAGGTAACGAATAATAGGGCATGTATAACCAGTGATGACCACAACCAAGTATCATAAATAAAACAAGGTAACGAATAATAGGGCATGTATAACCAGTGATGACCACAACCAAGTATCATAAATAAAACAAGGTAACGAATAATAGGGCATGTATAACCAGTGATGACCACAACCAAGTATCATAAATAAAACAAGGTAACGAATAATAGGGCATGTATAACCAGTGATGACCACAACCATGTATAATAAATAAAACAAGGTAGCGAATATTAGAGCATGTATAACCAGTGATGACCACAACCAAGTATCATAAATAAAACAAGGTAACGAATAATAGGACATGTATAACCAGTGATGACCACAACCAAGTATCATAAATAAAACAAGGTAACGAATAATAGGGCATGTATAACCAGTGATGACCACAACCAAGTATCATAAATAAAACAAGGTAACGAATAATAGGGCATGTATAACCAGTGATGACCACAACCAAGTATCAACAATAAAAAAAGGTAACGAATAATAGGGCATGTATAACCAGTGATGACCACAACCAAGTATCAACAATAAAACAAGGTAACGAATAATAGGGCATGTATAACCAGTGATGACCACAACCAAGTATCATAAATAAAACAAGGTAACGAATAATAGGGCATGTATAACCAGTGATGACCACAACCAAGTATCAACAATAAAAAAAGGTAACGAATAATAGGGCATGTATAACCAGTGATGACCACAACCAAGTATCAACAATAAAACAAGGTAACGAATAATAGGGCATGTATAACCAGTGATGACCACAACCAAGTATCATAAATAAAACAAGGTAACGAATAATAGGGCATGTATAACCATTGATGACCACAACCAAGTATCAACAATAAAAAAAGGTAACGAATAATAGGGCATGTATAA